AACAAATGTATTAGTTTCATTAATCTGAAATATTTTCAAAATCAAATGTATTAAAGTTGTAATTTAAATTAGAAAATATTTAATATGTTAATATAGAAAGGCTTTATTGGTCCAATCAATTCCATGTGCCACAGCCCCATTATTCCTATTGCTTTTATAGTTTCCAAGTTCGTATAGATATTTTTACACATTTGTGCCTTAATTTGTGCCTTACATTTGGACTCTATATTCAATTTATCTTTAACCTTTATAACTATTACCAAGTGTTCATTCTCTATCCATTTAGTGATCCTCATATTTGCATGTCGATGCCACACATCCGTCTCTGTTGGTACATAGGCTGCTCCTTTCCTGTTCCTTGATTCGACATAATATGTGTTTCCACTTCTCACTGCTTTCATTCGAACCTTTCTCTTTTCTTTACATACCTCAGCACCATCATTCTGAAACTTAACACATTAGCGATGATAACTGTCTTTGATCACGGATATTAATGATATTTATTCTGATCAGGAATACAACATACCTTTCAAACCCGCCGTATTCTCTATATCTTGATGTTATAACAGGCCATTATATAAATTAATTTCATTCCTCTTTGTCTGCCTAAAACATCATTTTCTGAATCTTTCTTTCACCATCAAAGATTACTATGTTGTGTATCATATGGTTAGACAACCTAGAATCCAATAAGCATATCATTCATTACATAATTGTATTGCTGCTTCAATTTCTTCTAGCTACAAAATATAATTCATAGCATCTAATGACCCTACGCTGCCGGTATTTCATGAGTCCAATATTTTTCTACCGTTGCACGTGCCCATATATTTCAACAGAGTATTGTCTTGAACTTACTCTACACTCTTATACAAAAAATACCTAATCCAAAAGCAGAAATTCGTAAATATAAGCAAAAAAAGTAAATGGCTCAGCATGATCTGACAGCCACAGACACTTTCCCCATTATTTATGAAAACGAAGCCCGAAACCGAAAAAAAATATCCAATCCCATTAAGAAAGAATTCCCTATACAATGATATATAGAACAAACCTAATCAAAAAGCTTAATTTTCCAAATAGAAGCCAAAAAGGTCTATTACGCAGCACAATTTCACAGCCACTGACACATTCGGCACTATTTCTCGAAAACGCACGCTCGAAAACGAAAAAAAATATTCAATCCCGTTAAGGAAGAATTTTTTCTACGTTGATATATAGAACAAACCTAATCAAAAAGTATAATTTCGATGATAGAAAAGAAAAAAGTCAATTGCGCGGCACGATTTCACAGCCACGGACACTTTCGGCACTACTATTCGAAAACACAAGCTAGAAACCGAAAAAAATATCCAATCCCATTAAGGAAGAATTCCCTCTACGCTGATATATAGACCAAACCTAATCAAAATGCCTAATTTTCCAAATAAAAGCCAAAAATGTCTATTACGCAGCACAATTTCACAGCCACTGACACATTCGGCACTAGTATTCGAAAACGCAAGCTCGAAAACGAAAAAAAATATCCAATACCGTTAAGGAAGAATTCCCTCTACGCTGATATATAGACCAAACCTAATCAAAAAGCCTAATTTTCGAAATAGAAGCCAAAAAAGTCTATTACGCAGCACAATTTCACAGCCACTGACACATTCGGCACTATTATTCGAAAACGCACGCTCGAAACCGATAAAAAATATCCAATCCTGCTAAGGAAAAATTCCCTCTACGCTGATATATAGAACAAACCTAATCAAAAAGTCTAATTTCGATGATAGAAAAGAAAAAAGTCAATTGCGCAGCACGATTTCACAGCTACTGACACATTCGGCACTAAATTTCGTACAAGAATGGTGTAAATCATAGAAAAATCTGCACACGAAATAGAGAAAAACCGAATCAACGCTGTTATAGTGAAGAAACCTAATCTGGAAGACTAATTACGAAAATATAGACGACAAAATTGAACTGTGTAGCACGATTTTACAAGCACTTGTACTTCCGTTGCTTTATTTCACATGTGCACCTTCACTTTCTTCCACCATGTGGTATTTTGCCACCAAACAAGTGTTCACATTTATTTATTCTGTTCTTAGTAAAATGCTCACGAGCTCTCAATCTTGTGTTATGGTCCTTTCGTATATATCACGACGATGTTGCAGAAATTGTTCAATGTTCCGAAATATAACTAATACTGCGTATTACTGTTCTTGAATATTTCTTTCGTCAGTTGCAGTAATTAAAAGACTGATGAAGGATAATAGTACTTCACAAATCGTTTTGTTCAGGGACTGAAAGTTTTACTTAACGCGTATAAATATTGCATCATGTGCTACCGGTATGTTGGATTCGCGTCGACTGGAAGAGTTCTGTGATTGGGCAAAGCTATACCTTATTTCCGCGGGAAGATGTTTCGTCTTTGAAATAACCATGTGCTAAAATATCGATGTAAACTATGAAACGATGTTTCTTTTATTTGTTAATATCAATGAAGTAGATATAAATGTATTTTTGTTACGAAAAATTCCAAACTTCTATAATTAATTCATGAACTTGAATTATTAATTATTCCATTATATTAATGGCAAGGTAAACCATTAGTATCTTCGGCAATAGTTCAAACACTCAAAGCAATAATCACCAATATCTCACCGAGCTTTTTAATCGAATTGAAAACTGTTTCGATAATTTTATTATATGATATCTTCTTCAGGAAAAGTCTGCAGAAAACAATACTGAAAGACAAGTTCGTATCAGATAAAGAACTTTCTGTAAAAATGCAAGAATATGTGCAGAAGGAACGCTTGGAGGCTTGTTTTAAAAATTTTGTAACTAATTTTAGTTATTTAGAAGTACATATAATTGTAATTATGGACATTCATAAACTCGAAATACTATCTAAATTTTAAGATAACAATAAGACTCCTAACGTTCTTGCTTTTTATGTAATTGTTCATTCCTGCCAAAAGTCATTCCTTTTTAAAATAACGCATATTTTTCGAATACTGGGGATTATAAAGCAATTACGATTATGGATTCTTTTTCATGAGAGTAAACTCTATACAATTCATGTAATGGATATAACAGATTAGACAAGAAATTAAAATTTATTGTACAGTGTAATCAAATAAAATAACATTGGTAACAGATTTGATTAATATCTTTAAAAATAATTTATCGTTATTTTTTAAAATAAAGTCATACTTAAATCATGAAATTAAATATAAATTATAAAATAGTTGGTAAATCCAAATATATTTTTATACAAAGCGATAACGTAATGTAAGGGAATAAAACAGGGACTGAAAGTTTTACTTAACGCGTATAAATATTGCATCATGTGCTACCGGTATGTTGGATTCGCGTCGACTGGAAGAGTTCTGTGATTGGGCAAAGCTATACCTTATTTCCGCGGGAAGATGTTTCGTCTTTGAAATAACCATGTGCTAAAATATCGATGTAAACTATGAAACGATGTTTCTTTTATTTGTTAATATCAATGAAGTAGATATAAATGTATTTTTGTTACGAAAAATTCCAAACTTCTATAATTAATTCATGAACTTGAATTATTAATTATTCCATTATATTAATGGCAAGGTAAACCATTAGTATCTTCGGCAATAGTTCAAACACTCAAAGCAATAATCACCAATATCTCACCGAGCTTTTTAATCGAATTGAAAACTGTTTCGATAATTTTATTATATGATATCTTCTTCAGGAAAAGTCTGCAGAAAACAATACTGAAAGACAAGTTCGTATCAGATAAAGAACTTTCTGTAAAAATGCAAGAATATGTGCAGAAGGAACGCTTGGAGGCTTGTTTTAAAAATTTTGTAACTAATTTTAGTTATTTAGAAGTACATATAATTGTAATTATGGACATTCATAAACTCGAAATACTATCTAAATTTTAAGATAACAATAAGACTCCTAACGTTCTTGCTTTTTATGTAATTGTTCATTCCTGCCAAAAGTCATTCCTTTTTAAAATAACGCATATTTTTCGAATACTGGGGATTATAAAGCAATTACGATTATGGATTCTTTTTCATGAGAGTAAACTCTATACAATTCATGTAATGGATATAACAGATTAGACAAGAAATTAAAATTTATTGTACAGTGTAATCAAATAAAATAACATTGGTAACAGATTTGATTAATATCTTTAAAAATAATTTATCGTTATTTTTTAAAATAAAGTCATACTTAAATCATGAAATTAAATATAAATTATAAAATAGTTGGTAAATCCAAATATATTTTTATACAAAGCGATAACGTAATGTAAGGGAATAAAAATAGATTGAAACATATCAATTGTTATATATTTACAATAAGCATGTTTAATACAGATATGTGCATTACAAAAATATATTTACCTGCGCTCGTAATCATGTGCATTAATCAAATAACACATAGAATTATGTGAGGTAGAGATAGTTACAACAATACATTCGCTTCTAAAACAATAGGAGTATTTAAAATATACATTTTCATAATTAGAACATTAGTTCGAATTATTTTTAACACAGTATTCAAATGTCCTTTTTGTTTTCAGTGCAAATACACTTCTGAAAATTAGATCATATTTTAATACTATAATACAATGAGATTCCTTATTATTATTTAACAATAACGACGTATTTATATATCATATAAAACGTTACTTTTAACATCACTTGGATTATAAATGTTATCTGAACTTCTAAATCATCACTTTTAATAAATTGTTCAATAAAAAATAATAATAGACTTTTTATCATGCATCACTTTTATATCACAAACACAATCATGAATTTTCACTTTAAATATGCAAATGAATATTAATGTATTTAAAAAAATAAGTTCCTCTTTTCTTACATACTGGTCCTATAGTTCACTTGCTTGTTATTTATGTAAAACAGTGAAACACAATTTAAATTTACAAAGATAAAAATAATTTTATAAAATTTATGAAATTAATTTTTCTATCTAATAAAATTAATTAAAATTCATTGTAGCTTTGTTTTCAGTTGACTCTTCTTCTTTCTATTTTTACTACTTCTAGTATTTTCATTTAACTTAGGTGATTGTACAGGAGTTATATGTCTTCCTTGAATTTCTAAACCTTCATGATTGTTATAAATAGTTTGTTGAGAAGTAAGCAAAATGGGCCGAGAAATAGGACTTAAAGGTTTTCTGTTACGAGGTAATACTACTGATGATGAAGTTAGAGATCTAAAATTATAAAATACCAAAGATAGTTATTCTTTATATGATATAGGAAGCCTCATTTTCCACATACCTATTTTTGCTGCTCGGAAATCGTGATGTGTCTAATGGAGCAAGTTTTATATTTTTTGGCCACACAGCAGGAGAAACAGGAGCATGCCAAGCGGATTGATAATTTGAAATTTTTACTGAAGCTGAACTTCTTCCCGAATTTTTAAAATAATTACTGTGTTTACTTGAGCCTAAGACAAAGTAATTATATAATTTATATATAATGCTAGAAATATTTTTAAATGCATATTCTATATGTATAATACTAAAGTGTAGTATACATGCCTTGAAAGATAGGCACTTCTAAAGACTGTGCCATAAACTTAATTGGAGTAGTTTTTACAGTAGAAAAACTTTCCCTGGTTGACAAAACATAAGGTACAGGACTAACTACAATCTTTTCATTAAAAACAGTTCCAAGTTTATTTCTACTAGTGTGTGGCCTAAAAAACTTATCTTCTATGTTAGACTCATGCTTCTCATTTTTTATTTTTTCATTACTCATAGAATTATCATGTTTTCTAAAAATGAATAAATTACAAATGCCCTTTACTTTTAAATTATAAAATTTTTCCATTATACAATATAATCTATACATACTTCTGAACTTCTTGAGAGTATGTTTGAATAATTTCTCTTCTCATTGGTAAAATATGATCTTCTACTGCTTTACCACTATTATTTGAAAGTCTACTTTCAAGAGGAATTGTTTCTTCAAACCAATTTACCTTTGTACTTTTTGCAGAACTTTTATTACTGTGAATAGGTGCCATACGTATTTGTAAAACATCATTAAAATCATCACGTAATGAATCAATTTCATTTTCTTTATTTGGAAACAGCTCAGATATTACATATTCATAAAGCATATCAAATATTTCATCCTGTGGAGTTTTTTCTAATTTATGTTTGGATGAATTTTTTCTTTCCTGTAAAGAATAAATTGCATTATGTATCTAATTCTAAGCCCTAGTGTTGTTATTAAAAATTATTCCTTTTAACTTATAAATAATATTTATAAAATGTTCTCTACCTTTACTGAAACACTATATTCTGGAAATTCATCTTCGTTATGAGAACTGGAACTACTTCTTATCTGATTATGATTTATATTCAAATCTTGATAATTAGTTCTAGATGTGAGAAATGGATTTTTTCCAATTATTCTTAAATGAGGTATTTGCATTCTCCATTGTACACATTCTTCCAAAATAGCTGTTTGTGTTACTTGTTCACCATCTTCATACAGTGTATTTTCAATAGCTTCCCACTGTTGCATAACTTTTCTTGTTGTAATATTTTCAATCTCTGATGAACAGAATACATCTGCCGTAGGACTATTTCGATCCCAAGTTGATAAATTGTCATCAACATCTTTCCAAGTTTTCTTCTTTTGTAAACTTGGTAATTGAAAATAATCACTTGATTCATTTTGATTGTTTTGATAATCTTTCACTCTTGGTATGTTTTCAGGAGTTTTTATATTTTGTGTTAATCTATATTCAAATGTAAATTTTATTTGTAAATAAAATTAATGTTTGAGACTATTTTATAATAAATTATATGTTTAAAATACGAATTAAAAAATAAAAGTAATATTGTTGTATAATGATTAACATTCAAAGAAAATAAATAAAACTTTTCTTTAAAACATACGTGTTAATTTTAAGTTTCCTTTTATGCATTTCATGCTTCTTCAAACGTATCTTTAATCAACTGAAGTTATATTTAAACATTTATTTAACAATCCTTTCGTTGTATTTATTACACGAAACCTACGCAGATCAGAGTAATTTTATTGATTATTTTCAAAAAGAATATCTTTGGTTTGAACCTTTAATTTGAATCATTCTACCGCCATTATATTATAAATGATTTACTAATTTTCTTAAGTAATTTAAAAAACACGACTTTACTATCAGATAACACTTGATCGACAGAAATTTATGATTCGTTGTACAATTTATATCTTATTCAATTGCATATATGCTAGTTCTATATCGCCTATTCACTATTGGCCAATAACAAATATACTAAATATTCGCTTAATATAAAAGATTATCTTAAAATGTGTTGTCATTATATTTAGAACAAAATAATTGTTTTCTATAAAGGTTGAGATAATATATAAAACCAAAAATAAAATTAATTTATAGTAATTCTTTAGTCTACATTCTTATGAAAACATTTAAATACATTAAAAAATAGTTGGTGAAACTGCTTAGCAAACGCGGGAAAAGTAAAATAAGTTTTAAGTTTTATTTACATCAAAAAGGGTATTTAAATTTGTAAACTAAAATAAATCACAATAATTTATTATATATATTTTGGTAATTATTTAAGCACAAATGTTTAATAGTTATGTATATAAAAATATTAATATTTATTTTAAATTACTTATAAAAGGTACATCAATTCAAAAATGGTATAAATAATTTACAAAATTTTAAATTGTTTATATTAATATAATTGAAGAAAGTTATTCAAGAATTTTGTTTCTAAATATTACGTATAACTTTCAATCTTCCAAATACATACAATTATTAATATAGATTTGTTTAAATTTTTTAATATAAAATTTGCCTTCTGTGATACACATTATTTTTATTTTATTATGAAAAATATCAAACACGAAAAATTTCACGAAAAATTATTCAAAAAGTACCATTACCATGTATTTCAGAAATATTTAAGTATTTAATTTGCATATTTAGAGATTTAACAGTTTATTATTCAAAAATACTATAAACAATTAATACATGTTTATATATTAAGTAAAATAGAATTTAAAATATATAATACACTATCATCTGGGAGTTTGCATAAATTTTGAATTCAATGATAAATGTTTTTCTTTTATTGATTGCAAGGGGGATTGAAACTCTGATGATACTCGTTTGGAACTATTATTAATTATGATTGGAGATAGACTAGATGGTTCGCCATAACATTGTAATTTTTCAAGTCGTTTTCGTATAGCTGCAGATTTCACTGGTTGATTAGTAATTAAATTTCTTCCTGCATTTTCTTGAGGTACATAATCATTAAATTGTTTGTCAGAATTAATATTTTCATTCATTGTAATTTTATTAAAATTATTTTTATCCGTGTATTGATCTGATATTCTTGTCACTGACTTTTTTTGTATTTGTTCTGAAATTTCCACTGCACATGTTTCTATATATGTATTAGCATCCTTCAAAAAATATAATCATTACAATATTATATTATAAGCACAAAATATTATTTAGTAATTTAAAGTTATAAATTTGTCATATTGGTACATTTTAACATTCTTAAAACATTTACCGTTATTAAACGTGTTAATTCAATAAAAGGTTGCTGAAGATGATTGTGCCGTGGATTACGCGTGAAAGTACTTCGTTCTGTGCAATATGCCATTGGTATATTCCACGATGTAGCTCGACGCCATTCTAAATTGCTACAAGCAATAAAAGATCCTGCAGTCAAAATTTCCGCATATCCGTGAGAGGATATCCCGTGCCAAAATAATATTGATAAATATGAAGATTGTGAATCCGTATGTGGATATGCCAAGTATACAGCTTGAAAATTTTTCATACCCTTTCAAATTAAGATAAATAACAATCACTATAGGTTTTAATCTTACTAATAAATATAATATATTTATATTAATAACTTACATACGGTTCATTTCCAATACAAACAACAATTCCTACTGTATCAAATTCTCCATAAACTGGAGTAAAAGTTGACTTACTTATATCATATAATGCTGTATACATTCTCTGAGGAAAATTCATATTATATACGTTTATTTGACTAAATAATGCAGTTCGACTGGCAGTTAGATGCAATTCATTACCTCTATTAAGACAAATACTTTGATTAATAATTAAATATAATAGAGAAATATAAAAAAGAAAATCCTACCTTTTTGTCGAGGGCAGAACGTTACATACTGATATATAATTTCCTTCTTTTAAAATATCTCTAACATCTTCACTAGGAGACCAAATTGAAAGAATAGCATTTGTCTCATCTTGAACTATGCGAATTTTTAAAAGAGGTGTAACCTGTCGTGGCGGGGGTATATTTTCCTGTAATTGAAGCTCTAATTTTCGTCTAAATGTTTCTTCCTTAATACGGCAATTATTTTTTAATTGCTCAAGCTCTTGATCTGAAAGAAATTCCTGTGACAAACAAAAATATGAATTTACACAGTATTAAGATATAAGGAATAATTTTCATTGTATCAATAAATACCTCTTTAGATAATTTTTCACAATCTTCATTCCATTCAATTGCTGCTAAATCAATACTATCTGTATTTACATTACTTTTTCTTTTATCAGTATGAAAATACTTCTCTGCTTTAGCATAGAATGCTTCTATAATTGATCGACATTCTTTTTCATAGATAATGTTAGCTTTTTCTTCACATCTAGTATTTCGAAAAACTAGAATCATGAAATCAAATAGTTTAAAATTTTTCACAAGATTTGGATATATTAAATTCATACAGTTCTTACTAGACTCTCCTGTTGAAGTTTTCTCATGGTATAAAATTGGATACACTCTAGCAACAGTAACTTTAATCTTTCCAATTAACCCACCATTTGAATAAATTGTATTCAATTTAATGCATATTGGTCCTGGTGGTTTCATGTAGCCTAACTTTGTATCCCACCTTGCTCTTCTTGTTGAATTTGTATGCAATTTTAAACATACATTCTCTGGAATCTAAAGAATAACAATCTTTCATGTATTGAATATTTTTTGATAAAACCTAAAGATACATTTAAAAATATGTTTACTTCCAAAGGTGAGCAACCTTCATCACAATTTAACAATTCAGATCCATATGTTAATAATTTTGTTCCTACTTTAACTTTCCCAGAAATTATATGTTTAATCATTGCTTGATCAATTAAAGCTTGAATACTATACCATCCGTCTGTTACCAACAATTTTTTACATGGTGTTTTCGTTTGATTAGGACTTTTATTTACAGTAACTGAATCATCATACTGTAAAAAAATAAATAATGATTATTAATAAAAGAATGATTAATAATAAAAGATTAATTTTCACAAAGAAGATTTACCTCAGTTATGGAGGAGACACATAAAATTATTCTTTTTGTTGCAATATCATCTTTTTCTAAAATTTTTCTTAAAGCTGATCTTTGAACTCTATCAATTTCTCTATAATATCGGTATTTTAATTCCATCATTACTCTAACAGGAGTTAAGAATCTAGAACAAATTTCCTATTTATTATACTATTTATATTATTTGTTATTATTTTCTTTGTGAAAATAAAGACTTTACCTTGGCAAAGATACAGAACCTAATTTTATTCTGTCTATTGATGCTAATTTCCATACAATCCATTTGTAATGATTTTCTACCCATCCAGTGGGAAATAAATTAGGATCTACACCTGGACACGCTAAAAAAGATCTCTTAATTTCTGTTATCCCTGCATATCCATTTTCATCCAAAATCAAACATGCTCCATCCTCTAATTTTATACCATCAATATTATTTTGCACAGTATCTTGCCTAAATAATATATAATAATTTTTTAAGTAATATATCTAATATATACAAATCATTGCAAACAAAAATGTCTTACCCATAGAAATCTGCACATCGAAACTTATACAGTATTGCATTATCAGCTGTTATATCCATAATTTCAGGAGGTAATTTTTTTTTAATAAGCTAATGATAATAAGAAATAACAATCAAAGTTTAAATAATTAATAAAAACATTATATAATAACTTGTTTTAAACCATTACCTCTTCATAACTACATTGTATAGGTTTTGCTCCTTTACTAATTTCTTTCCAAGATACACGATTAGCATTACTTTTTTTAAGAAAATATAATTTACTGATTGTTGGTTTAGGCTTATTTATTTGCTTCAAACTAATTTGTTTATCCTGTAAGTATATTTTAGATAAACTAAAATGACACTTTTAAGAATTTCTTTTCACATTAATATATGTTATATCTAAACATATCTTACTTGTTCTAAAGTGGCTTCTATACGTTTCTCTAATATAGTTACAGATTGATTTATAAAATCTAACATTAATTGTGTGTCACCAAAATCAGTAGCAACCACATAATCACATTTATTTCCTTCATCTGTTGATTTTTGTTTTTCTAATAAATATTTACTTTTCTTATTTACACATTTATCTGAACTTGTACAATTAATGTCTAATTCTTTTACATTATTTATACACACTGATTTATCTTTTTTATGTTTTGAAATATTTATACTTCTTTTTTTACTTCCTGTACTTTTTCGTCTTTTAGGTATAAATTGTCCTCCTATTACAGGACTAGATGGAACATTTGCAATCTCTTCACCTTCTTTAATTTCCTTAGGAGACATCCATTGCTCTGTAAAATCTGAATCTTTTTCATCAGCTAGAAGTGCAACTGCACTAGCTACAATTTCATGTGAAATTAAAGAATTATCTGCTATTTCATTACTTTTTTTACTTATATCAATTTCATCAATCTTATTACCTAATTTATCAGTATCATAGTTTGAAGTTGAACCTTGTACAGATATTAATGATATGCTTTGATTTTCCTTTTCTTTAATACTTGCTAAGTTCTTATAAACTGTTTTTGGAACTTGAAATTCATTACTAAATCGTAACTTTTTAAATTGGTTAGATTTTGTTTGTTTTTTTAAAGGCACATCATCGTTTGAATCTATATTTTTTCGTTTCGGAAATGGTTTAGGTAATTCAGGGATACTGATAAAATCTTCAGAAATTTCTTCCTGAAATAATTTTTTAGCTTTTAATAATGCGTCATTAGACACATTCACGTGTTGACCACTTGCAGTTTGAAATCCAATATTTGGAAATCCAACATTTGGTGATTGTATATTAAGCACATTAATTTCATTTTCAGTTTTGGATGCTTCTTCATGATTGTCAATATCTTCAAGTTCGTCAGCAAAAAGTTTCTTCGCTTTTAACAAAGCTTTTTCGGATACATTAATGGAACTACCACTGGCGGTAGAAAAGCCAAACGACAATCCATCATTTTTTTTATCAATATTCATATCTATTTAACTTCTATAATCCGAACAATATATTAAATAAACTGATATTTGAACGATATCGACACTAAAGATCGCTCGTTTGTATATTTCAATTGATAACATTTAAACATTTTTCATGATTCCTGTCATCAAGATGTTAAAACAGACTTATGATATATGTACACTGTTAAAGGGTACCAACTGTGCGAGTAACTGAGAAATTATATTTTGTTTTACAGAAAATAAAATTTATAACTTACATTAATACCTTTCGTTATAATTAATTTTAGAAATTATTGAAAAAATAGTATGAGATTTTATATTAGAAATTAAATTAATTGACATTGCAAATATTTGCATTTTATATTGCAAAATAAAATCGTAATTAATTTGAAAGAAATAATTTATAATTTTGCCAAATGAATTAAATATAAGATTTTATTAAAAAGTATTTATTGGTGATTAATTACGTATCATTTAAATATAGGATTATTTAACTACTTTATTTCATGAAAATCTATTCTTTTTATTTCTTTTAATTTTTTGTGAGCACTATATCTATGTTACTTTATGATATTAATTTTTAATTAAAATGCATCATATATTAACATATTAGTATTATAATGTAGATAATTTCTCATATATTTATTTTTACTATTCCTCCTTCCATGTTTTATTTAATTTTATTTAATTTTGTATCTATTTTACGTAGAAACGATTTTATTATGTCACTATAATAATAACGAAATATGTAAACGCATCTGTCAACGTGATTGTTACCAATTATCTATCAAACCGATAAAATATATATTTGACATCGACACGTTTTCGTAGTACTGCATGTGATTTGCGCGGGAGAGTATCGCATATCCATTTTTTAATCAATTAATATGAAATTTAAAGCATATACAGGAATTACATGGTCTGTGTTGGAACTCACAGGCCTTGTAGAAGATGAAGATTCTCATGTGTATTTCGAGAAATTTAAGAAACATCTTGGTTTACATCCTTTTCACTTAACAAATCTAAATGTTGCATTAAATGAAATTTTAAGTTCGAATTTGAATTCTTATGATCCTGAGTATGTATATAATTTTCACTAATTTTAATGATATATTTTTTATCCAAAGTTTTTGTTTAGTAAAATTTATTTAAAATAAAATATTGAAAGATAAATGTGTTCTTGGTTATGTTTATATTCTAACCTTAGAAATAATATCTTTTAGTGCGTTTTTAATAGTATATTTATTACAGCTTAAAAGGATTTTTATTAGCTTATAAGAATCCTAAATTATTAACACCACTGGGTGAAATATTTCATGATACATGTTTCATTCATATTGACATTGAAGCAGACTTTTATGTATTTAAACCAGAAGTTGGATGTACATTAAAAGGTAAAATATTTATTACTAGGTAGTTTATTTATTATTAATGAATAAACTGTCATAGGAATAGTCAATAAAAAGGGATTGGGTCATATAGGAATTCTTGTACATAAAGCATTTAATGTATCAATTTCAAAACCAGACGACGAAGAAAATTGGCCAGGTGATGACCTTGAAATTGGCCAGGAAGTAAGGTTTTCAATAACACTTCTTGATTTTACTAGTAAATTGCCATTTATTCGTGGTGTTTTTAATTCAAAGTAAGCATATTTAAATTTAATTTTATTTAAATTTACAATTTTCTTTGTATGTTTCCATACTATCTATATTCTCTATATTATACAAGTTTTCTATTTCTTCAGTGATTATTTACGTGGCTGTAAGTTAGTCCAGAAAAGTATCAACAACAAAAGATCATCCTCTGTGAATAAAATGCAGAATGACGTTGAGAACCAAGCTAACAGAATATCAGAGAAAAATGTTAAATATACCAAGCAGCGTATCTTTTTTGCAACTGATTCTGAAAATACCACTGATGAAGATGTATCACCAGTAAAAGAAGAAATTGTTCAACAAAAAAAATCAAAGAAGAAATCTAAACTAAAAGAATCAGTTGAATACTGTGAAAATAAGGAAAAGGACAAAAAATATAACAGAAAATGTAAAGAAATGAATGAATCTAGAATTAACTTGACAAAGGTAGAAATTGATCATGATCAATATACGAATAATCTTTCTTTAAATGGTGAATTAGCAGTAAATGAAGAATTAGAAGAATTCAATGATTCAAAAAGTAACATTAAAAAGAAATACAAAATTAGGAATTCTCAGAGTGAGATTGATGAAGATGATAATAAAAAGTCTATAACATATTTATCTAACAAAATATTAAATGAATCATCTACCATAAAATTTAAAAGTAACACTAGTAGAATTAAAGTTGAACATTATGCAGTTAACAGTGATGTAGAACAAATTATAGATGAAAATATACCTGAAAGTAAACACAAAATAAAAAAAAATTCCATGAAAAGACAACTTTTAGATGATAGTGATATTTCTGTAGTTGATTTTAGTACAGAAAAATACATAAAGAGTTCAAAGGACCCAAGTAAAAGAAGTTCAAAGAGAATTAAGATGGAAGAATTGAATGACTCACACATTCATGAAGTGAATGATATACAAGAGTCTCCAAAGAAACAACATAAGAAACATAAACATTCTCTTAAATTAGAGACTTCTGAAAGTGAAATGGATAATATAAAGAAGCATTCAAAAAGAGCTAGCATATTAGATTCTGATACTGTAATTCAAAATATAAAGATCAAAAAAGAAAAGATAACTAGTAGTTCTGAAAATACGCAAGATGAGGATTGTGTAGAAACAAAGAATTCTGGCTTAAATACATCTATATGTGATTCTAATTATGATGTAGGACACAAAAATAACATTACCGAAAAGAAACGAAAAAAACATTCTAAGAGAGCTATTATAGATACGAGTACAATTAAGTTAGAACCCGAATTTGAAGATGTCGTAATTAAAATTGAACCTGGATTTGAAAACGTTGCAGTTAAAATTGAAAAACCTGAAAATGATAGTGATAACATAATTCAGGATATTTTCTCAGAACACGACGACCATATCGATAACGATGAAGGACATATAAAAAGTAACGTAAAACATTTGAAAAAGAAAAAAGTGGACAAAAAGGTAAAAATAGCAAATGTTAAAGTAAAGACAGAAAAATTGTTAGGTACTGATGTACTAGATATCGACAATAGTGACGTTGATGTTCAAAATATTCCAAAAAGGAAACAACATAAAAGTTCACCACACAAACAATTAAATAAATCTAGGGAATCTGAATCAGATATTGAATTTAGAAATGTTAAAATTAAAACTGAGAGGTTTTCAGATAGTTAAAGGATAAGAATCATTAAACATATGTATAATATTTTTAATCATATCTTCTTCAATTCTACTATCTTTTTTCAAATACGACGAATATATAGCTATATATATTTACACAAAATTTTAAGTATATAACATATGTAACATATTTACAAATGTATAATGTGTATGTATATAAATATTAATTTTATTTTGCTAAGCAATGAAGTTATATATTTGTACATCTAGATATTACTGACAAACTATTTTTCTCTTTATGTAGTTTAACTTATGTAAGTTATACTGCTTATACCTTGTTATCATTTTTTGTCAATATGTATTGGTTTTCTGTGCATAATAGCTAATGTTGCAATAAGATCTTATTATTAAATAAATATATAGCTATTTTGTCACATAGTATAGTTTGAAAAATGAAAGTACAAATATGACATCTAGATGTTATTATAAAGTTTTATATATGACTTTTTACATGTATCATTTAACACGCGTAAAATTTTTTCTATTGTAAAGCATAATAATGTGAATTTTAAAAAACTACTTTAAATAAATATATAAAAGATTTAAAAAAATTATTTAACAATATTTGAATTATCATTATGGTAATTTATAGATTATGGGGTTTGAAAACATGTGCAAAGCTCGTAATAGTGAATATTAAGAAATATAAAAACATATTTATTAATACATACAGATTTATCATTTTACATCACAATTATTGCATTTTCCGTAAATTTAAATTTTTGTTGCATACTAAATTTTTGGGGATATGCATAAGCTAAATTTTAATTTCAAAATAATCGTTAGTTTATAAAATATTTAGCCACAATTTTGTACTTCGAAAGTATTAATATCATTTACATATGTCGTGATGTTTTCTTTCTTCACAAAATATATTAAAAATTAACGTAATAAATTTATTACAAAATAAAAGGCTTTTCATCAAAGAAGAAATAATTAATAATAGTGCCTTTATGTTTTTAGACTTCAATGTAAGTGATATGTTTTTCTCATATATTTCATCGGACGATAATGTTCGGAATAAATATAAATTAGATACTTCTATGCAATTTCTATCCTTTATTTCTTAAATGAATTATTTAAAACATATAGTAAGAATTATTAATAACGTCAATTTTTCAAATTTTTTAATTTTCTCACATCAAGGAATTTTTGTAAAAGCAATAATTTGTTTATTTTGGAAGATTTACAATGAAAAATTTTATATAAAAACAATTACGGTTTTCAAGCATTTTCCTACGCTTAGTGGTCTGATCACTTTCTCCCTACATAATAACATTTATTTTTAAAGTACCATTTATACTATATTGTGTGATAATATATATTTATTTACATATACACGCTTTATGTACATTATTCTTATGTAATATATGTAACTTATTGTTTTTATTCCACCTCTAGCTGCATCGTGAAATAATTTTATCAGTTTCATTTTTCGGCATAAAACTATTATTTTCTTCTTTTTTCCTTTTTAAATAAAAATATAAGAAATAATATGATAAAGATTTGCGTGAAAAAATTATGTCGAAATGTTTATAAAAAAAATGCAAAACTGACGTTAAATTCTGGGACAAGAAGATAATTAAAAAAGAAGCACACGAATGAGATCTATTCGAAAATAAATTTTAAGATTATTTTTACAACGAAAGTACAATACTTTAAGACAAAAAAGAAAATCGAGATACATTGAAAAATATTCAATATAATATTCACAAATATATCATAATTGTATTTCGATATTTTTTAAGAATTTATTATTTATTAATATAAGATGATCAAAGATAATTTACTTTCCAGAATAAATGTTCCACTTATATTGAATATCAAATCGAATATTGGATTTTGTTCTAATCTTACAATGCTTGGAAATAATGAAAAAAAAATATAATCTTTTAAGAAATTTCGGTCAGAAAATTTCACCATCGTTATAAGATACTGTGTCCCAATATCTTATACACAAAATAATTCATCACAGCATATATTGATGGCGTTCTAATCCCTATACCAAATTCTTGTCATTGTTGTGAATTCTCTAGAAACAACATATGGCATGTGAAGAAGTATGGATAATTGTGTTCACGTCGTGGTGAACACTGTTTGTGGCTGCTGGAACGTTCTTTATCATCTTGCGGTTTCTTACAATTTAATTAGGTACGCTTTGCGTCATATATCACGCGTTCTGTGAGAATACATATTTACACGCAACGTTAGTTTGTCGCTAAAACAACGAACAGGAACTTCGACCTTGACACTTGGTAGCGTTCGTTCCTCGACGTTTGCCGGAACTATTTAATAAAACATTTCATCCGACACGTTCGTCAATTGCAACATACTCTGTTGATCTGCACTGAGTGGCACGACAAAACATTTATACTGATTACTGTGTAAAAGATTTTAGATGCATGTATGTACAGTTAACTTAGCTCCTCGCCTTACGAAACGGATAGTGTGCAATGAATATATTATATACATATAAATATCTATGCAATTGTTCTTTGAAGCAATCATCGGTGCACGGTATCACTGTTTATCGTCTTCTAAATGTCTTCGAAACTATGTAAAACAATTTTTCAGATATGAAAAGCGTGTTTTGAAAGAGACCACTCTATGCGAGCTGATGATTTTACTATAGACATAAAGAATTTTATTTTTTTTTTTTTTTTTTAATTTGTGGCGTGATACAGAATAGGAGGTTTTTATAAATTTATAGAAGTCGAGGAATACGCTGACAAGTATCAAAATAGAAAGAAAGAAGAAATTAGAAATAGGTCAAAATCATAGATTGGTCTTTCATCTATTATGCAACGGTTGTTTAATAAATGTTTCCGTTTATTTATCATAGTCCCGATGAAATTTAGAGGATAAGTCACCGAATGATCTTGTATATTACTTTTGTTGAAGATGAAAAATAGGCGGAAGTAGATTACAATGAAATACAAATTGAGGTAGGAGACCTGATATCGCGCGTATATCTTGAGCGAAAATTCGAAATTGACACTTCTAAACAACTAGTTAATTAATAATAAATCGAACTAGAATATTAAGATAAAAATAACTTTCTTACAATATTTAAATCGTATTTAATCTTGTACAAAAACGTAAAACAATAAACGTTTAGTTACAAATCACAAGAAAAGCCATTTAATGATTTGTTAGCCATGCAATGATATTAAAAAGATATGTTTGATTTTCTGAGGGCTGTAAGTTTGTGTACGAATTATTCTGAAATCATCCCCGTTTACGATGCTTGATAATTACTCGACAACTGCAGCCAAATAATTCTGGATCAGTCTCTATTTGCTCGCCTCTAAAATGGACATAGATGTTCACTTCATATTAGTAGTAGATTAACCGTTCTGTACGCTTGATATTCCATTTTTGATCACAGAAATGATATGTCTATAAAACTAAAAACGTTCAACGACTGACGCATTCTCTAAACAGCACCGTGCCAGCACCATGAATATCTGCCTTAACTGCTTCAAACAAATCAAAAATGATTCGTGGTGATGTTCGTGCACTAGTTTCCGGACAGTTGACACAGCTGGTGAAAATTGATCAAGTACTCAAGCACGACGAAAATAAAACAATAAAACAAATAACGTCAACTTGGTCTTCACTTGATGCTATATATACACACACTTCTAGCTTTCGAAACGGTCGGCATAAGGTACCTCCATTGGACACTTGGAAATTCGATTTAGTTTCACGTGGACAGAGAATTAAAATGTACTATGGAAGCGGCCAGGGCAAACCAGAAAAATCCACGGGGCCACCTAAACCTGCATCCGCCTCTAGAAGGCTCATTATCACGGCCATTGCTGCCTCGTCGTTGCCATCAGACGGCACTGGATTCGATGATTCATTAATCGTAGTACCACCGATCATGTCCATCATATCTTCATCTGGTGACGCACCTAAAAAGAGGTAGATATGTTATACGCAACAATCATTTAAAAGTATCCGCGCGGTGTTGCTGTGAACGCTACTATTGAAACTATATATAACGCTATACCAAAAGAAAAGAAAAAGATGAAAACGGACACTATTGCGGGCTTGATTGCTGGATGTTCGAACCTTTGGAAGATCATTGAGGCTGACATCGTTTCATCATTTGTTTTATTTCTTCTAAATTTCTTAATATATATAAAATGAAATTTAATAACGAAACGCTTATAAGTACTGTACGTAAAATATAATTCGTTGCAATAACACGGACTCATTTCTAACGGAATTATAAACAACTTTATTCGTTAAAACAAAAAATTTGTGTAAATAAATTTCCGAGATATCAGAACGAACTTCCTATGCCCAGTTTCGCTCAGAGAAAACTAGTATTTCGCGTTTTGAGGGCGATCGAGCAAATGCTTGATCGATCTCTTTTTCTCTGAGCGACCTAATCTTTTCTGGTAAATCCGGCAATCACACTACACACCAAGAAACGACTCCTTAGAGACAGTAATAGCTATGACCTTGGTCGTTCGCGATGCTGTTCAGCTGCAAGTTGTTTGTTATGTGGTTGTATGTTGGTGTAGGATTATTGCTGCTGTTGTTGCTGCCTCTGGTTGACTGCGCCACGTCCTGCACTCTCTCCGGCGATGCGGTTGTAGTGATCTGCGACTTGTCATGAGAAAGAAAATATTGTAGAGAAATATCATCGGTACATCGAACATCTTCTTTGATTCTTTACGACAGCCTATCAGACTATAGAATTTATTTTGAAGAAATATTACACGAAACATTGAAAAATGGTATAAGTACTACAAAATTGATCTTTTTATTTTAAAAGATATTAAACAAATTTTCTTTTACGTTATTTTAAGATATTTCCTTTTATTACATGATTATGTAGTGTGATAAATATCGACGATAAGAATCGCTAGTGTTTGTCACCGAGGTATAATTGTGAACAACAGAATGACTGCAGGGGGATCATAATAAGCGTGATAAAGTCTATTGGAATTGAAAAAATAATAGGAAAATAATGAAAAACGTCATAAAAATATGTATTTTTTATACAAGTTGATCTTCTATTAATTTTCTAAACGGATAGGGGAGTCCATGTTGAAGCTTCTGTGGTCATAACTACCTCGGTATTTAATAAAGCAGGCTCCGGTCCTGGCCCGGGACTGCTACCAGAAGAAGAATCCTCACCACGTCTTTGAAGATCCAGAACCTCTTCAGCTATTTGTCGCCCGATTTTACTTACCTCTATGTGACTCGAGATCAATCTTTCTAATCCACCGTTACCTAAAATTATTTTTGGCCGTGAAATAATAATAATTTTTAGAAATAATAAGTCTTAAAATAAATAAATGTAAATAAAATAAACAGCGGAATAAATACTATTAAAATAATTATAAATACACATAATTGTAATTACAAATTTTTAATAACTAAATATTATATGAAACTTAAGTAAATATTATTCAAATAATTTTAAATAATAAGTAAATTGAAATAATTGAAGTAATTGAAATAACAGTAATGGCTAATCGTATGCTTTCATTATAAATAATGGAATAATAACTATACGATGATAGTTATTATGAACATTTTAAGAGTGAAGACAAAATATTTCTTTGATACGAAATTTGAATTGTTTTTACATAAATTCTTTGCAAACGAAGATTAATATTTATACGGAAATAGGACAGATTTCAAGGTTTTATTTTATTGTTCAACGTAAAGTGAACGATTTATTTATTAATTACATATAATTTTTATACACGAAACGTTTAAAGCTTGATATTTTCTTCAAGTCTTCTTTGTTTGTTAATAGAGAAAGATGGCAGAATATGCATATGTTTATCAATAAAAATAATATTTTTTAAGATAATGCATCAAACTGATTAATCTTTTACTATCTTTTCAGCCATACCGTGTATGATATGATACTGAAATTGGTATACGGTATAAATTTATTACAATTAAATGTAGTTGCAAAGGTAAACGAAATTATGTCAAAAGTATATTATACTTACTTTGCGTGAAGTAGTCGTAGTTGCCCTGGACGCTGGAATCCTCAGATCTGTTCCCACTACTGGTGATCGATCGAGAGTCACAGCTGAATGTGATTATTTTCATTAATTCACATGTTTCATTCGGATTTTATATAATTAGATAATTGCGATATAAAATTGTAGGAAAATTATAGAAACTTACGAAGTAACAGAGTTCTTAGCTATTAGGTACTCGATATCTTTGGTCCATGGATTTCTGAAGGATTTCCATTCGGATTGAAGCTTTACAAAGCTTGCACCTTTGGTCCTAAACCTGTATATCTAAACACAAATATCGATTTTGTTAAACAATTTTTATATCTTGTTATAAGGCGGTATTCGATAACACTGTTCAATATCAATTTTTATTTGTTCGCGTTTTCTATATTTTTTTTAAATCTCAATTTATATGAGAACTTAGTATCATTAGAGCCTTTGGAAATGAGAAATGTTAGTGTTGCAGAAGTAGAGTATTAAAATTTAGCATACCGTTCTGAATTTCCTTTTATAAGACATTGATATAGTATGTAAGGCCTTTAACACTAGGGTCTCTATACGTAGCTACGTCCACGTGGTGAGACCTGGTATTTGCTATAGTTTTCCAAATAATAATTTTTAGAAAAGGAAACCAAGCAAAAAGCTACACTCCAAGTTTAAAACATTTGCTATTTCTTGATAGATTAATAGTATTGGAGATAGAACAATTTTGATTACGTATTCGTGTTTAGGAAGATAAACTCTACAAGAATCACTTAATGGATATTACAGATTAAAATTCGTGTTGAACAGTGTAATTAATCGTATTTTCGATGACGACTATTTCTAATATTATTAAATTATAATATTGATATCTGATATCATTAAATGTCAATATTATTATTTAAATCAATATTATAAGAGCTAATATTATTATTTAATCAATATTACAATATCTAATGTTATTAAATGTAACAAAAGATAAAAATAATAATATAACAAAAAAAATAGTATTCATAAATCTGATATAGTTTTCAATATGAACTTGAAAATTAAATATCTATTTTAAAACACTATGTTCATTGTTAGTTTCATTAAAAGTAGTATTGATTTTATGTACAATTTTGTTCAAAAACTGAAACCTTTGTTAGGAAATGCAGGAATAAGTATTCAGTAGTAGGAAATTGAGAATGCATGTATAGTCAATGTCGATTGCATAGATAGCGTAGAGGAAATTAAAATTTCAAACAGTGATCATTATCATTGAAAAAGAGTTGTTGAGGGGGACTTGGCTAGACGTGGTGATTTACCTGCGTGGTGACACATTCGGATGCTTGAAGAGCAGCTTTATGAGATTCCGCCAGATGAGGGATATCATCGTGGTGATAATATTCATACATGCTCGTACCAAGTAGCTCTTGTGGTAGGAAACCTAACACTAACGTAGCCCTAGAAACGTTTCTTATTTATTATTATGCTCTTTAGAATCATTATTATTAATACTGATATAGGTACTCTCATTGGTGTGTGAGTCTAGTATACATGTAAAATTGTGGGAGCTTATTATACAAATATAAAAAAGGCGTAATGTTTCAACTAAATAATTTTGAATAAATGAGAGAATTTGTTATTTTATAATTTTTTTTAACTATACTTATGATTTAAAGATATATAAACGTTTGAAAGAAATGTAAGTTAGTTACATCATAATTATACCTATGACTCGTATAATAAGTGATTCATTAAGATTATTCATGCTTCATAAATCAAAGTCGAAAGTGAGTATAGTCTGAATTAATATTTCAAGATCAAAAGATATTTTAATCTAATGGATTAGAAAAATTGGAATAACCATATAATAACATACGATTTAAGGAAAGACTGATTAATATAATCAGTAATTTAGAAGTATAATTTTAATATTAAGAAAGAAAAAAATCTGATATATCTTTAACATAATAATTATTGTACTAAAAATAAATTGTATAAAATGTAAATAATTTATTTCTATATGATGATATATAGAAATTTAAACAAGATGTGACTAAATATATTTTTCTAAAATATAACATATAATATTAATAATCTGAATGGTATATAAAAAATTCGAAATAAAAAGTTTACCATTTTATAATGAAATAAATTAAACAATATTATCTGGTACACAATTTAAAAAAATTATCATTGAGAAAAGGACCTTTGGTCGACGAAGAGGAATTTGCCATCCATCGCGTGTCGCGAAACAAACTTTATGGGTCTCAAACGTGGTTTCTTAGGTAAAGATGTAGGTATCGTAGACTGTAAACGGCCAACAGCTACTAAACACGACAAATTGCAAGCCTCTCCATCTCCATCGCCTTCGTGTTCCTCGAGGTCGATTTTCGCAGGCGCCCAGGATTTCAGATATCCGGTACATTGAATTACACAGTACTTCCAGTCTGTGAAAAGTTGACAGTAAAATTCATGTATTAGAATCTTCATATATTATGCATACTATTGCTAATTTAAAAATAAAGAATAAAGAAAAACTCGACAAATAAAGAAAGAAAATAAAAATAACTTGCATACAGTAAAATAAATATAAATAAAATGAAAATAATAAAATAAAATCTCTGCGAGGTTGACAATTTTTTTCAATAAATTTGTTTATTAATTTAACACAAATTATTTTACGAATTAGTAAAATAATTTTTTCATAGTTCACGTGAATTTATAAAACTGTTATTTCGCTATAAATTAGGTTTCTGTATAAACTCCAGACTGATGATTCCATAATTGAGTGTACAATTAGATTTTAACGACGACATGGAGGAATTGTCTCATTGCGAAATTTATAGTTACAATTATCTTCGCAGTTCATTTATCACGAAATCGACGGTAGAAGATTTATTCCATGGATCTGCCCTGTCAACCAGTTTGTAACCAATGTTAGCTAACAGTTCTTTTCTTGGTTGAAAACTCGATGGCGTGTTATTCTTATGACGTGTGAGAGATGAACGATATAAATACCAAGGAATAGAAATCGCAGACAATGAGCAAAGATTGCGCAAGTTTCGTTGAATTATTAGAACGACAATATAATTCAGAGAATGATTCAACCAGTGATCATCCTTTCCCGTACCAATGACACATTTGTATAGTTTCACCGTTCCAAAAAATATTTTTTATTTCTCGAACAATGACTCGAGAGATCATGCGAACGTCAGATATTTATTTTTGTCATTATTCGTTAATTGGCGCTTGTGTAATATCAGAGTTTTGAATTTCTTCAATCTACATTGTTAGCGCCTATTTGAGTTGTCATGCTTTACAATATAGCGAATAGCTGTAATTATGAATAATCATCTCGAAGCATTTAATTGTTCACTTGCAAACGGCTAATCGTGTATTATCTAAGCTTGTTACTTAGAGCAAAACAAGTTCTTCAGATTGATGAAGTCTGACGATCTTCTATTCGAATTCTAGACGTGTTTCAGGATTAATACAATTTGCAATTAAAAAAAATTGATTTGAAGATTAGAGATGCTCCAGTACAATAAGAGGTGAATTAACGGATAATATAAAGAGTAAAATATGGATGTAATTGTGAGAAAATAGATAATTCTAATTGTGTAATACGTAAACTGAATAATTTTCTGAAAACGAGTATTCCAAGAATTATAATTCAATGTATCATAAATGAATAAAAAATATATTTAATTTTAATTTTAAAATTTAGTTATATTTTATTTTATGGGATATAAGAAATATACGAGATCAAATAATTAAAAGAAGAATATTAATATTCGTGTGAAAATATTTTATATTATATTAAAAAATATTTTTAAAAAAGAATATACATATATGTGTGATTAAAAATATAAAATAAAAAAAGTAACAAAAAAAAGAAATATGTAAAACGATCCTTTTTCAGGTCTTTGAAATAGTGTGCACTTTTATCCTTTGACAAGTCACGCGACAAATATTCAACTCGTAAGGTTTCAGAACTGACAAAAAGGACTGGTGATACTGTAAATCCTGCTTTGATACGTTTCTAATATCTTTTTTTACCGTTTTATATTTTTAACAACTGCTATTTTAATTTTTCTTTTACTATTTTGGCATTTACACCAGAAATAGTCATTTCGTTTAAAAAGCTGCTTTTAAAGCGAGTAAAAATTAAGAAACTCCTCTTTTCACTTTGTGATAAAAATATGGTTTTATAAGTGTATACTAATATTAATATATTTCTTTTTATCGTTCTACAAATATCGTGTACATATTATTATTTTTTGTTGTGCTTATTATTTTTGTTGTTTGTACTGTTATTGTTACTGACTTTAGTTATAGATTTGCAGCTGTAAATATCTAGTTATAGATCTTGTATACTCGGAAATTTTAATGTTAATGACTTTACAAAGGTTCCTTGCTCAAGTAACATATAAATACTTACCAACATTTTGTTGCTTTTTTCGTCGATGGCAGCCGCTAGCTGTGTCGGCTTCCTCTTTCACTTGCAATTCACCACAACGAACCCCTTCGACTTTTCGTTTCATTCTACAGAAAAAAGACCTCCGTGCACCGGGACATAGTCTTGATACACCCTGGGGCACGTCCGTTTTCACTGGTAACATCGCTAAATCAATATTTAAGCAAATATTAATATATTATTTAATATATAGAATATTTGTTTCTTATATGTTTTGTCTAAGTAGGATAGCTTCAATTAAAAATTGAATAAGTGAAAAAAAACTCTATGATTTATTATGTCTCTTTAAATTGTTATAAATTATGGAATTATTTAAAAATAAGTGTTAAAATTTCTCCGAGCCTATGCTGAAGAGGATCTATCATTTTGAGCAAAGAAGTAGAAAGATACTCTAATCTTTGTAATAATATAAATACTTTTACTTCAATTATTATAATTACTTTATATAAATACATAACTTTATAAATTATTATAACTACACTTAAATATCAATAAAACAAATGAACATGTACTTGTTGAGATTTTATTTCAAAATAAAATACTTCTATCATTTTTTAACGAATTTTTGTCTGTCCCTTCCTATCTCAAATTTATCAAAAAAATATGGTCACGATTGTTAATTACATTTCTGATCTTTTCATTCAATAAAAAATTGAAGTCCGCAAAAATATAGAGATATTCGGGTTCCTCAATTTCTGTATCAGTCCATATCGGTGTTGATGTGTGCGAATATCAAAAAGGTTTTCGCACAATTCCCTATGGGTGGAATGCGTGCGTGTCGCATATTTGCAGTTAAATCAGCCTTGACAGAAAGAAGGTATGCAAAGGAAGTTCGAGTATACAATTCACAGACGCGTTTGTTAACGAATCGATAAGCAGGTATGTGACAATTTTTAATTATTGTTTATCTGTAGATGTTAAACTAAAAGAATAAAGATGAATGGATTAATCAGATTTCCCCAAATTTTAGAAAATTATCGTAACTTTAATTTCGTATTTTCAAGCTTTAATTAGTTGCGGTATTATTAACATTTGGTCTATTATCGAAATAAGGTGTTCACTAGAATCACATAATTCTCTAATTATATGTTCACTTATGGCCCTTAATTTATAAACATATAGGTCAGTTTCTAAACATAAATGTTATTTAAACCCCAAATCTTTTTATCTCACCTTACTTTTATTGGCATATTCTCTTTCGAAAGTGCTCGTTCTTTAACTCTTTCTTCGTACTTTCTATTTATCAAATTTACGCCTCTTAAAGGAACGCGGATATACATGCAAATATAAATCGGGGATAAATCAAGATTTTGATTTTCGAAAGAACGAAATGTTAGATATCTAACTTCACAGCTTTAACAACTGCAACATAACAGTTTTAATTCAATCTCAATGCGGAATTTACTACCATGTCAACATTGTGACGTATTAAAATGGCATTCTGCGCGATATCGAGGCACATAAATTAAAAGTTCGACGCGATATGTGCCCGGAATAGAAGAGAAGAGGAGAGAAAGAAATCTCGTATGAATACTGAGATACAGCATCGTGTCGTATTCACAGTCATAAAAGCTTTATGGCTGTCTAAACATCTATATTGTTGTGGCTCGTGCTTCGGCGTTGTGCAGTAAAAAGAAAGCGATCTGCGAACGTTGACGTGACGTTAACGCGAATCGTGGGCGCGTTAATGGCGTATGCAATCTCTTCTTTAGTCAAGCCGTATTCATCACTTTCCGTAATACATCGCATGCATCACAGTTATGCAATTAATCTCGCCGTACTGTGCTAAGTGTAATAGGGTTGTACTGTAATCAGCTAGTTCTCTTTCATTTAGGAATGTTCATTTGAAATTTAAAGGTAACTGTAAGACGTCGATTCATCTCTCATTTCAGATCCAATTCCAGAATTTTTAAGTTCTTGGAATATATGTACGTATAATACATATAATTTTATAAAATTGAGTAATTTGATTTATTGAACTCAGAGATATCGATTCTTCTTTTGTTCGAATTCCAGTTTGAAAATTATTTTTGTATTTAGTTGTGTGATTGTGGATTTTTTGGATATATCATTTAGAAATTTTAATCTTTGAGAAATTATATATGTACATATAATATACATAATATTGTAAAGCTGAGTAATTCGAATGTAATTTGCGCGAATTTGGTTGCAAAATACAGATGTTAGATTTTACACATGCATGTATTATACTTAATACATATAACTAATAGAAGATAATTTATTATTTAAAAATAATTTGAATGAAAAGAAATCATACTAGAGCGTACATTAACTGCGAAAGAGTACCAGGCGTAATTGAATAAAGAGACTAAAGAAATAAAAATTAATATTTCATGTGGATTTAACTTTTCATAATTATCTATAGACTCTATTGTATAGAATCATCGTTAAGGAAAATGATGTTGTAAGTATTGAAAACATAAATAACCGACTAGGTTTTCTATTCGTAAATGATTTTTTAAAATTGCATGCATATATGGACTTGTTAGAGATATGCACATCTGTACGTACATGACAATGGGTAAGATTTCTATATGTCTCATAGAATTTTATTACGAGTTTATTACTTTACGAACTTATGCAACAGCTTGTAACTTGGAATTCAATCCATAATCGTTTTTCTCGTGGGTTTATATATCTCATTTTTATGAAATTGTAATAAATGCCTCGATATCCCCATGTTTTTAACATTTGGTTGAGTAATCAGTTCGTTCACCTTTCCCTGATACGTGTTTTTCAAAGAAGAATATAAAAAGTAGACATTATTAGGCTCCTAAATAACTCCAAGAATTTATTTCACTTATATTTAAATAAAATGAAAATTGCAGAGGTATAACATGTAATATCTGGATTTCTTAATTAAAATTTTTCTGTAGAACAAACATTATTTCGAACCAGAATAATTCTTTCTGCATTTTTAAAGATTATTTGCATTCGGAGATATTATTTCAAGCATTAACTCGTTAATAGAATTAGGAAAGAATATTTCATTATGAAACTTTTATTAGATACATGAGTCGGTGATACTGATAAATACCGTTTATAAATGCATCGTTATTAATACCCAGAGAGAAAATGGACGTTATTAGTGCCTAGCACAGGAATTGCTTGTTATTATAAGCTAAACTAAACATTTTTATTTTCATGCCTAATAAATTATTGTGATTTAATTTGATTTTATAATATACAAGTAGGGCTATTAAGATATTTGATAAATTACGTTCGTATAAATTTTAATGTTCTCAGAGTTTATGGTCTTTTTATCGTGAAAAAATAGTAAACAGTTTAAGGAACTTAAAAATACAAGTACCCGAGTTGATTCCATAAAAAAACGCGAGATTTTGCAATAATAAATTTAATTAGATTTTCTTTTATAGAAGGTTATTACTCATACTGCTACGATTAAAAAATTTCTATCCGCTAATAATCAATCACAAATTAAAATAATCAATGCACATGTTAAAATCGTCCATCACAAACCTAAATAATTGACGCATAAGAAATCTCGCAATCATCGCTGAAACAACGTTATAATAATGACTGACTGCACAATAATAAACTAATTACATAAACACATATTACTTAATCTAATGTTGTACAACTTATACAAATTTTCCTCCACAGATACTCAATTCCTAGTCAAACTATTAATGCAATTCCAAAATTTTTTCCACAGCTACAACTTTAACCCAAACCCTGTTATCAAACTTCTCAAACTGTCTTTTAACTCGTCGACCGCATGCAAAACGCTAACTCCACCATAGATAGGATCGTTGTGAAACGAAGACACGTAAGTTGTACCAATTACTCTATTCCAGACTTCATCAAACAGCACGGAATAAATGGCCTACGTTCGCGTGTCGTTCAGATACAAATCTCGCAATTACCACCATTCTTATCGCCGTTACCATTACAATGGCGCTTCGACGTTTGATCAATTAGCCATCAAAGATGTCAGCAGCGCGCCATGCCAACCATTGCTGGATCTCCTGGTTTATTAATTCAACCGCAACAAGTGTCGATGATTAACGACCGTGGGACCCGGTCCTGAGGTCCTTTACGAGTAAATCGCACGTAACATTCTTCTGAAAGAGGGAGAGAGAGAGAGAGAGAGATCCTGCCATAATCCAACCAGTCCTGCTATTTTTCTCCTTTAAACGAGCCCCTTTCGTAAGCCTCTTATCTCACGGCGCTAATTCGAGGATGTTTATCGACAGGTAGATGCTGCCGAACGACTGACATTTATCAGGATGTAAAACGCATTGACGAGCAACGGGTACCCATCGACCATAGAACCAGCCGAGGGTATGTCGAAAGGTGTCATAATTAATGGATTCGAGCGGAGAATAGCCGATGTGCATAGCTGGATGGCAGAAATAATTTCGTCAGGATCGTGAGCCTTTTTTCCTTGCAGGGTTTCTTGCCTCTCTCTTGCGTGTTCTGGGAATTATGTTGTTTGTATAAAATGCTACTGGGTGATGTATAGGGTTATTTGGAGGCTTCTTCGTGAATGCAGAGTAATTACTCGTGTTTTTGTAGAATTTGTTCTCCTTTAGCTATTGCATTTATGTGTAATTAGCTTGATTTTTGCTAATACACTTTGCTATTATCAAATAGCTTTAGAATTGGTTTCTCGAAAGATTTTTGTTGATTTTCTAGACAGTAGATTAATGAAGTAGGCAATACAAAAATTTGTAACACGCCAAATCTAAGATCCAAAGATTTATATAAATAACCAGGAAGTTAAAACGGTTGACTCTTTAAAAATTTTAGGAATGATGTCTGATAAAAAAAATATACACAAGAATATGGTATTAAACTAATAAAAACCCTTAAAAATGAAATGAAAAAAAACACGTCCTTAAAACAAAATAAAGCGCGACTTTAAAACAAAAAGAAAAAATAAATAATAGAAAATACCATAATTCCATAATAAAAGTAGAGAATGAAATATTTCATTTGTTAGGTAATAAATTATTGGAAGTAGTTTCAAGGCAGATCCTCCGGGTATTTAATCCCTCGTCATTAATGAAAGTTTGGTAAAGGTCAGAATTAATGATAGCTAAATGATGGTGTATTCAACGAATGGTGCAGATGGCTATGAGCATTCCAACTAAAGGTTTTCGCTATGCGTAACGTTGTTTCGTTGAAAAACATCTTTTCTATTGACTAATTCTCAAGTATTCTATTTAATGGCCATATCTGACGTCGCAATAAATAATCCACCTAAAAGTTCTCAATGAATAATTCTCTTCCAATTCCAGATTCAATTTACTTATTACCAAGCTTATCCTAATATCATTCGCAGATGTTTTCGAATTCCTTCTTAAAAATATTGAATTTCCTTTTTACACCACTGTGCCACGATTTTTCAAAATCATTTACAATTTAGGCGATGAAAATGTTTATTGAGATTGGATTGCACTTAAACAGCGAGTAAAGGTATTAGCCAAGACTTGTATGATTACGTTATTTATGGTTGCGGTAGGTCAGCCAGCAATTGATGAATTTATCTACACAAATACTGCCAAACGCGACACACACACGCGCATTCTTTCGTCGTCTTTTTATTAATAAAGATGTGTGGCTTATAACTTTGATATTGGCTAACGTAAGGCAACTTGATTACGTCGTGGAAAATATAAATTAGGTAATATTTTTAGACGACAATTTATGAGGCCGTATATGTTACTTTGTACGTTTCCCTTTTTGCGAATTAACCGATAAGATTCTTCGAGTCGATAACTGTTTTATGGGAGAATAATTGGTGTTAATTGGTCGCGAAAGATCGTAAATTCAAATGAAGATGGTAGATTGAAGATTTAGCACTTCTGGGAACGCTATTCGAGGGATTACTGATCGTTTCACACGGTTTTATCGAGAGTTTAGTAAAAGTTTGAAAGTTTAGAGCGTTGATTGGTAATGATAAAGTAATTAGGGTCCTATATGTATAGGAAATTACATAGAAGGCAGCGTTATGGATGGTTGCAAGTATGTTACGAGGTATGAACTACTATTCCGTTGAAAACATCAAATTAGACGAAGTAATTAAGAGCGGTGTATAATTAAGTCGTTATACTATCGTAAAATTATAAATGCATCAAGTAAAATAGCTATTAAGTTGTACGACGTAAACTTTGTTAATATGAATGATTTCTTTTAAGAATCGCGTAAGATTAATTATAATTTTAAAGTAAGTATCGTGTATTTTTATTTACAGTTAATTTTTACTTCTCAATAGTAAATTCTATATAGTAAATTAATATTAAAAGCTTTCTAAGATTGATATTAATAATAAAATATTAAAAAATATTTTAATATTGATATTATTATATAGAATATTTATCCTGTTGATTATGCAAGACGAGACAACTTCTTATTTAGTGTGTCAGACAGTTCAGAGAGAAATAAAGAAGAAAGTTGAAAAAATGACGAATCTTCGTGAAACAATCGTTACCAATATACAACCCCTATCACAATCAATATACAATCCTTGGCAAAAATTTTTTAGCCAAACACGATAATACAAAATTATCTAAAATTAACATTTTAGAAGTAGAATGATGTAATATAAGCATAAAACGAGGTATTAAATCGATTATGGTATGAAGTAAAAACAAAAAAAGAAAATTAATTTCAACTTTTGTTTATTATCGAGAAAAATATAATTGAGTTTGGTCAAAAATTTTTTGCCAGGGGTAATACTATTAATACTTACTTTTGGCGTCTATTAATCGCTCCCGTGGACTAAGATCCGAAGAGGACAACTGTTCCTTTACCTTGGCTACGTCTTTCGGATGCAGGATATCGAACCAACTTTGACCCAACAGGTCACCCTGTGCAAACGGGAAAAATCCATTTTAACGCATAACTTCATGTTCGAATTTTCGTTCTATCGAACTACTTTGCGACAAACTAGTTTCGCAACGGCGAAAAAGGATTATAATTGACCTGATTCGTGAAATCGCGAGCGTGTGTATTTCACGTTGAACGGAACTGATTTATTTTACTACCGCGCCATTTCTGTTTTAAGCGTAACGCTCGACGAAATTTATTTTACCGGTCGTGTTTTATTATCGCTATATCGAGACAGACAGAGAATGGATACCTGAGAATAATTGAGTGTCTGCAAAACAGACTCGGAGACGTAGAGAATTCTTCCACGATCACAGCCCACCACGAAGACAAAACCCTCCGCAGCCTGAAACAAAAGAAGGCACCTTCGATTACGTCACCTAGATCAAATATTAATTGCAATTATGCAACGGGTGCGATGGAGAATCGATGAGCATTGTTATTGACAACGTTTGCTCGTGTTTGAAATCTACTCGACTAAGGAAAAATGAATAGTGCGGCGGCGATCTGATAAAGGTTTCGATTCTAATTAATTCTTCAAAAACGTTTCATTAATTGTGTCGAAATTCTTCGGTTGAAAAATAAAAATACAAGTTTTTAGATATTAAACTTGAAAGGGTTTAAAATAATTTAAATTAAATATTTTGTTACGTGAAATATATTTCTACAAAAAATTTTAAATGGTAAAATTAATTTATGAAATGAGTAAATGAAATAAATATTTTGTTAAATATTTAATTAAGTAGTTTTAAATAATTTGTAACTCCGTTAGAATAATTTTCTAAAAGACATTCCATAAAGATAGATTTTAACTTATAGATTTATTTAATTCATTTATCATTACATTATTTTAATGTAAACATTATTGAAATGTAAAATGCTCTGTGGATTTGATTAATTTGACAAATGAGTGCTTCATATAATATCAATTAAATTTTTTAGAATCAATTATTATTAAATGAACTATTATTACATAATAGTTTTAGAATCAATAATAATAAATAATTTTTAGAGTTGCATAGGGAAATAATGTTAACGACTAGAAACATATAGTAATTATTAGGTTAGTAAAGTTTCAAAGTATTTAACGTTAGTGGATTTAGTACCAACAACGTAATAGTAATATAAATTAACAAATTAATCACTCGAATATCGTACATTCATAAGGACTGGATCATATAACCTATTAAACCAAAAAGCTATTAGTCCTTGTATAAACTCTAAGTCATCGATACTGCAACTCCTAGACGAGAATGCTATTTAACGTTGGAACTATCAAATGGGGCAAAATGACTAGTTTCGTGTACTTTATTATCGTAATTATTACATGTAGTTACGTTTGACGATATTAATTTTTATTTTTATTTAGATAGATACGTGAACATGAGTATCTATTTACTTTTACCATACTATTTTAATTATTAATTATTAAAATTTAATTAATCATTATCTATGTATTTACCTATTTATTGCAAGTTCTATTTCTATTTTTTTTTTCATTTAATTAACGTTATAATGGGAAATCAAATTTGTCAAATATCAAATAAAATTTTTAAGGATTAAATCAAATCTTTTGTTATAAATATTTTTATTATGAAAAGACGGTGGACAAAAGGAAAGATCTAAAATATTTTTACAAAAGAAATAAATTGTTAATTCTTAATTTTGGGATTGACATCAAGTGACATCTTTGACTCGAAAAGACCCTAACTCTACTCTGGTATGAAGACCTTATAACGTGTCAAAGACATTATTTGGCATCAATTCTAAGATTATAAATTTCTTTTGAACAGTGTGCATATGAAAATTAGAAAAAATTGGTATTGGTAGGAATTCTATGAAAAATTTATACAAAAATATTATACTATAGATAAAAATTTCGTAACTCTCTATATTGTGCTCGTAACTTTGATATTCAATTTTTTAAATATCCCGTTATTTACTCCTTTATTCTTGAATGTGACTTAGAAAACGATTATGAATATAATGGCAGAATCTAATGTCTATAAAATGCATATTCAACGACTTGTGTTCTCTCCGAGTTTCATTTTCAATTTAATACAAGGTATGTTCAAGTTGCTAAGTCATTCTTCTTTTTCTTTTTTAATGCCAACAGTGTAATGCATATCATACATAAAAATGATATTGCAAAAAGAAATCTTGACTCTAAAAGCCATTATATACCAACGAGTTTGAAAGATCAAGGTCTAAGAACAGTAATAATGACTGAACGAATACGTTCAAAAGCTAAAGAGAAGTTATATTTAAATTATTCAAACTATACCTTAAACTAAGGTTGCTAAAATCAATTATTGTATTATTACTACCACATATAAGAAACGATACCAGAGATTTGGTAAAACAAATTTTCTTTTAAAAAATTCAAAATTTAAACACAGTAACGATTATTGAACAAACACGTTTAAAAGGCATTTCACGTCTTCGAAAATAAAAATACGTGTCATTTATGAAAATACAAAATTTCTTAAATATTTAATCTTCATAATACAGTAATCGAAATATGATATTGAATATCAGGTGAAATTACAAGTATATCCCTAAGCTTCTTTGTTCTAAATGTTAATAACAATAAGTGTACATGTGAATAAATTAAACAAAGAAATAAATATGATTTGGGCATAAATGCTGTTTGCTGTTAATAAAAGAGTTCTATCTAGGATTTTAGGAACCATTGATTACGGGTGTATCTATACTCCAATCAGTGTTATCAGTCACCTACTATGTTAAGAAGGTAATAGTGGAAATAGAAGTAGAAATAAAGGCAACAGATGAAACAATAAACTTGTGATTCCGAGTGTAGTTACACAGAGACTAACACTTTGCACTCGATTGGCGCCACTATGGAGACACTAATAATCTGCAACATATTTGATTTTCGTTCATAAAGCTAAAAAAGTGAGTAACTTTACTCTAAAAAGAATTCACAGACAATTCTAATAGCTCTATTCTCGAAACAATATTTTTTAGTCAAATTTCAATCGCAGCAACTGAGAGAGATATATGCATATGTATTGTCTTTACCTGTTTTACAACCCCAGAAAATTTCATTTGAGTCCGACCTTTCTTATAAAAGTATGAAATTAATAGTTTACGAATTCTTACTTTTATATCTGTATCGAATCATACATCAAAAATTTTGAAAATTATTTGCGTTTAATACAATAACAATTGGCAATATTAATTTTAATCATCTCGACTTTATTCGATACCTTTAATTTATTATAAACTATAAACTAGCTTAAGAATCCAGCTACAATTACGCGAAAAAATGGAAACTTTACTAAACTACAGGATAAGTCATTTTCACTGCAGGAATCCCAGTGTTAAGATCTCGATGTCACCGATCGAACCAAAAGATCCCGAATATCCTAGAAAATACAAAAATTTGAAAATTTCGTAAACGGTGAAACAAACCGTGTGGAAGAATGAAAAGTACCTACGATCGCATCTCTCGCTATAGTACTTTCGACTCGATGGGAAAAGCGAAGCCAATGATCGAACAGGTTCCTCCGCTGAGCATTCCCATGTGGATCACCGTGGTGCCGAAGACTCATCTCGATCGAGGACATAAAATTCGGTCGCACGTAAATCGCATATAGTTGGTAACCGCGAATAGACGGGTTGAAGCAGCAAGTAGGGGTGTAGGGACGTTAATGAATGTTGCATTCGAGCGAAGATATATCGCGACGAGGCTCGCGAATGCCGATTACGCAAGCCAACGCACTTAGCCTGGCTGACTTACCTGCCAAAGAGATTGACGATACGCGTACGAACATTGACGCGCTGCTGCTCTCGCGTTATCGCGATCGTTGGATAAGGATCCGTGCACGTCGTGGTTCGAGGGTAACGAGCAGAAGTTGTACAAGTTAGCGGCGAATGGCTGGTCGATTTCGATCGATTGTTTCTTGCTAAATCTGGTCCCTTGTTTCGGCATTTTTCTCATCGGTGGTTACACGTGTCAGAGGCAGCTGTTCGGGATGTTAGGCGGAGCAGGCTGGGACAGATGGGGAATGTTGAAACGAATGTCGAAATTGGACGGTGCTTGCAGTTTGGTGTGAACCTGGTACACCTGATCCTTATTTTATGCGGCATTTTCTCACACGATTTTGAGGTACACGCCTTCCTGTTAACGAGACTTGTTCAGAGCTATAGCACTCTTTCTAAGCGACTTATTCACAGTTATGAGATTGTTAAAAGAATTTTTTTAGGAATTGGAAAAAGCGCGATCTTTTTTTGGATTATTCTATTCATTTTAGCTATTAATTTTTAAATTACCTATTTATTTTAAATAAAAGAATTAGTTTATTCATTTTTTCTATTGCTTTATTACGTTCGTTTCACGTATTATGTTTATTTGATAATGCTACTTCTGACAAAATTAACGTACACTTTTATTGAGATAGAAATGGAATTATATATACTTACGTATAGTTACTATAATACCGTGATTACTATTATTTATGTATTCGATATTTAGATAAATTTAATAAAATTTGAGTTACTTATATAAGATTATATTTAACTAAAACAATTCTGAAATGTAAAATATAAATTACTTTCTACTAATAAATATTTCTCTAATTAATTTCGTTGAAATTTCAAGTTTCAAAAATACTAATTAAAATGAAGTTTTATCATTTAAGAAATGAAGAAGTAAATAACAGAATGTCAGTATCGATAGAAGTAACTGGTGATCGAAGGCAGATCTCACTTAGAATGATCTTCATAGTGATTACAAAACCATTTCTTTCTATTATCTGTTGTGCAATTAATATTTCTAAACAAAGTGAGAACAAACTCGTGTCACTTGGGCAATAAACTACGACTTAAGAAAATCTTAGCGGATTTTAAATGGCATCGAAAACGCGGTTATAACGCCATATTAATCAATGTAATCGACAGATGTCCCGTGAGGTAATAACTAGTTGCATAGTATTACTTGGGCAGATGTAATGTTTACGATATGTAGATGCATATCTGCATAATTGCACGTTACGATGTTGTTCAACGCAAAATGGTAATAAGATGGAATGCTACAAAAATGCGTGTTTGAAAAGAATCGAATTCCCGCTTAATTCTCGATGTCTAATAAATTCATATTTCATCACGATTCTGATTAAATGTCAGAAACACTGTTTTTCATCGATTAGCTGCAAATTCTACTTATCCTTTATTTATCTTTTACATCTCGTAATTAAACGCAATAAAAATGTATCTAAAGTTCTATCGTAATTTGATCTGATCAATTTGCATTGATATTCGCGTTAATGCACGCCAAAATAAAATGCATAAAACTAAGATTTATAAATTATTTTACAGCGAGAA